GCACCACATACCAACAAAGATGTTGTGTCCGCCGAGAACTAAAAAATAAATATATAAAAAAATTCTCTCTCTTTCACTCCCTCTTTAAAAAAAAAAAAAAAGGAGGCACTAAGCAACTCAGTGAGAGACCCTGACCCTAAAATACAAAATAGGGTTAGGGAAAGAAAGAAAGGAAGGAAGGAAGGAAGGAAGGAAGGAAGGAAGGAAGGAGAAAGCAGTCCACCAAGAAAGAAAGAAAGAAAGAAGCAAGTGGTCCACCAAGAAAGAAAGGAAGAAAGAGGCAAGCGGTCCACCAAGAAAGAAAGGAAGAAAGAAAGAAAGAGGCAAGCGCTCCACCAAGAAAGAAAGAAAAAAAGAAAGAAAGAAAGAGGCAAGCGGACCACCAAGAAAGAAAGAAAGAAAAAAAGAAAGAAAGAAAGAACGAAAGAGGTCCACCAAGAAAGAAAGAAATAAAGAAAGAAGGAAGAAAGAAAGAAAGAGGCAAGCGCTACACCAAGAAAGAAAGAAAGAAAGAAAGAGAGAAAGACAGAAATGTCAAGCGTTCCACCAAGAAAGAAAGAAAGAAAGAGGCAAGTGGACCACCAATAAAGAAAGAAAGAAAGAAAGAAAGAAAGAAAGAAAGAAAGAAAGAGGCAAGCGCTCCACCAAGAAAGAAAGAAAGAAAGAAAAAAAGAAAGAGGCAAGCGCTCCACCAAGAAAGAAGGAAAGAAAGAGGCAAGCGCTCTACCAAGAAAGAAAGAAAGAAAGAAGCAAGTGCTCTATCAAGAAAGAAAGAGGCAAGTGCTCTACCAAGAAAGAAAGAGGCAAGCGCTCTACCAAGAAAGAAAGAAATAAGAGGCAAGAGCTCTACCAAGAAAGAAAGAAAGAAAGAGGCTAGTGCTCTACCAAGAAAGAAGGAAGGAAAGAAAGAAAGAAAGAAAGAAAGAAAGAAAGAAAGAAAGAAAGAAAGAAAGAAAGAGGCAAGCACTCTACCAACCAAGAAAGAAAGTAAGAAAGAAAGAAAGAGGCAAGCACTCTACCAACCAAGCTATATCCTCAGCCCTCAGTTGACATTTGAATAAATTTTCACAATGTGCACAATGATTTATTTAAGCTTATTCTTTATTGGTTTGGTTTCTCTTGGGGACTCTGGAGTAGGGCGGAGGCAAGAGCTGAGCTGAGTAAGTGAAGGGCAGAGTCCAATCTTGAAACTGGGTTTGGTCGGTCACTGAGACCTGGGAAAGTGGAGAAACAAGAAGAGGGGGGTGGGGTGGGGTAGGGTCGTTATCAACTGGGAGTCAGCTCAGCAAGTTTATTTATCCTATTGCCCAGCAGGAACCAAAGTGCTCCTACCTTCAAATGACCTTTTTAATGATACATAATCAAAATAATTCACTAAACTACAGAGACAGTTACCCACCTTCCTATGGAGATTCTCTCCTATCTCTTTTCTATTAGCTTGGATACATTCCCTTTTCCATTTTTACTCTCTGGCAGATGCCTTCCCAGATTTGTCCCTTCCATTCCTTCCCAGTTTCTCAGTATTAAAGTCTGGATGTGATTCAGTTTCTGTATCTAGCTTGATGTCTGCCTATCGGATGGGTGTCCTGTCTCACCCTTAGGTGCCTGAGTCCATAATCTTTAGTCCCTTTGTCTAGGACCGAATACATAGACTGAAAGATTTTCTAGCTGGTAATCACTGAGATCATCAGTGTCTACACAACAGGGCTAACAGCCTCCAACTACAGAAGTTTCCATCACTGGAAGGTGTCATAGCCCCAGGGTCCAGAAGGAAATCTGAGAATAGGGGTGGGCAGCTGAGCTCTGTAAGAGAACTGGGACTTGAGGAGGATGAGAGGGAAATCCTAGTAGTAATGACAACTGCTGATACTTCTCAGCTCTTATTCCTCCTCAGGTGTGGCCCTCAGCTCATTATTTGCATTATCTTATAAAAACTTCATCACCATGCCATTAAATGATCCTCCCATTCCACCCCCAAACCTATGCTGAGAATGGCATGCTGAGATGTGTACCTCTGTGGCAGGCAAAGTGCTCTACCACAGAGGTACACATCAGCCCGCCATGAAATGGTTTAAATAGGTCTCATTTTAATGAAAACACCGAGGTCCAGAAAGGCTAAGTAATTTGCCAGTGTATATTGGAGAAGAGATTTGAATAAGGGCTGGGGTATGGTTCAGCTTGCTTAGCCTGCCCCAGGCCCTGGGTTCCATCCCTAGCACTGTGGGGTGGGGAGATCTGAATTCATGTGTAACCCAGAAGCTCAAGCTTCTAACCTTTGTGCAACATGCCCAAAACCACTGGGCTCCCTCACCTGAGTGTGCAGAGCTCTGTCTGGTCCACCATCCAGGCCAGCAGCTTTTGAATCAACAACTCCTTTAGTAGATCTTCATCACCAGGGTTCTTGGGTAGGGAGCTGCAAAGAATACAACCTGTGGGAGCCTGCTTGAGTTTGGGCCTCACGCAGAGAAAGCAAATACAGGACCTAGGACTCAGAAGGAGCCCTTGGAAGTGGGGACAGAGCCAACACACCTGCCTCTTGGTTATCTCTGCTCTCATCCTTTTCACTCTTCAGTACAGGCAAGGTCAAACAGGAATCTACTACAAGGCCAGGCATGGTGTTGCATGCTTGGTTGTTTTTTTTTTAATTTTTTTTAATATTTATTTTTTAGTTTTCGGCAGACACAACATCTTTGTTTGTATGTGGTGCTGAGGATCGAATCTGGGCCGCACGCATGCCAGGTGAGCGTGCTACCGCTTGAGCCACATCCCCAGCCTGGTGGTGCATGCTTGTAATCCTAGCTACTAGGAAGGCTGAGGCAGGAGAATCGCAAACTCAAGAACAGCCTCAATGATGGGACCTCGAGCTGGGTGTGTTCCGTTGTCATGCTTCCACCGCGATTTCCTCTTTTAATCTTCCTTAGTTCCTAAAACTTTCAAGGTATTTGCCCCGTTTTTCTTACCATCTGCCCTATCATTTAAAGTTTTTCTTACTCAAAAAAAAAAAAAAAAGAACAGCCTCAGCAATTTAGCAAGACCCTGTCTGAAAATAAAATATAAAAAGATGGGATGTAGCTTAGCAGTAAAGCATCCCTGAGTTTAATTCCCAGTACCAAGAGAAGAAACTTGCTGGTGCAAACCAGGCATGGTGGTGAACCCCTGTAATCCCAGTGGCTCAGGAGGCTGAGGCAGAGGCCAGATGATTTCAAGTTCAAAGCCAATTTTAGCAATTTAGCAAGATCCTAGGCAACTTAGCAAGACCCTGTCTGGATAAGCATCCCTAGTACTAAAAAAGAAAGAAAGAGGAGCTGGGGTTGTGGCTCAGTGGTAGAGGGCTTGCCTAGCATGTGTGAGGCACTGGGTTCAATTTTCAGCACTGAATATAAATAAATGAACAAAATAAAGGCCCATCAATGTTTAGAAACTGTGCCCAGGAGCTGGGAGTGTAGCCCAGTGGTAGAACACTGACCTAGAATGCACAAGACCCTTGATTTGATCTCTAGCACTACAAAAAAAAAGAATAAGAAATTCTAGCCCCAAAACTTGCAGAACCTATTCTCTGTGAGTTTGGTCTGACCCCAGGAGTTTGTTGTTTGTTTGTTTGTTTTGTACCAGGGATTGAACACAAGGGTACCCGACAACTGAGTCACATCCCTAGTCCTATTTTCCATTTTATTTAGAGACAGGATCTCAATGAGTTGCTTAGTGCCTCACTTTTGCTGAGGCTGACTTTGAACTCACAGTCCTCCTGCCTCAGCCTCTGGAGATATGCAGTACTGTGCCCTGATCCCAGGAGTTTTTTGTGGTACTGAGGATTGAACCCAGGGGTGCTTTACTGCTGAACTACATCCCTAGCCCTTTAAATTTTTTTTTTAGTTGTTGATGGACTTTTATATTTTTTATTCATTTATTTATATGTGATGCTGAGATTAAACCCAGTGCCTCACACTTATGAGGCAAGTGCTCTACCACTGAGCCACAACCCTAGTCCTCCTTAGCCCTTTTATTTATTTTTATTTTTGAAGACAATGTCTTTTACTTTAACATTATGCATTTTTAAACTTTTTTTGTAGTTGTGTTTGGATTATTATTTTATTAGTTTATTTTTATGTAGTGCTAAGGATTGAACCCAGTGCCTCACACATGCTAGGCAAGTACTTTGCCACTAAGTTATAACCCCTGTCCACCCTTTTTATTTTTTATTTTGAGACAGGGTCTCACTTAATTTCCCAGGGTGGCCTCCAGCTTGCAATCCTCCTGCCTCAGCCTCCTGAATCACTGGAATTATATGTGTGTAACTCTGTGCCTGGATGGAGATTCCTCTTTGAACTCTGGGAGGAAGAAAATGCTTATGCTCTGGAGTGTGTGAAGAGATAAAAGTGAGGTGGGGTGGCCCTGGAGGTTCTATTTCCTCCCCTTCCACATGGAGACTCACCTCTGCTGCTCTGGTGCCTCCTTATTCCCTTGAGATTGCCCAGCCAGTTCCAGGGCCTGGGCCTCCCTCTGGGTGATGTTGTGTTTCCAGCTAGTAAACAGAAGATTAGGGAGTGGGTAGGCTAGGGGAGACTGCAGATGCTCCCCACCCAAGGACACTTGAATCTTTTGGCACCTCAGTCCTGGGAGCAAGGATACCTCTTTCTCCGCTCAGCCTCCCCACCATTCATGTTTAGTTGCTTCCACCAGTGGCACCTCTTCAAAATTTACCAGGCTGACCAAACAGCAAGAGCATGGAAAGAGATTTGTTGTAGTAAGAAAGTACAGGGCGGCTTATTTCCAAAGTCTGAAGTGGTCACACCAAACAGTCATTGGCAGCAGTTCAGCCTCCTGTCTGCATCCCTGGCCCCCTGGGGATCCTCTCTGAGCTTCCACATATTTCCCCAGTTCCTCCTCTTGGAAGTAAAGGGTTGGAACTCTGCCTATGGGGTAGCCACCTTGCTATATTAATCAATGCCACAAATTATCCTTCTAACAAAAAGGAAGAAGACAGAGGAGGAGGCAGAGGAGAAAGAAGAAAAAGGAGGAGAAGGAGGAAGGGGTGGAAGAGGAGGATGAGGAGGAAAGGAGGCAGAAAGAAGGAAAAAGAAGAAAAGGAAGAGGAGGAGGAAGAAGAAAAAGGAGGAGGCAGAGGAAAAGAAGAAGAGGAGGAGAAGGAAGAAGACAAGGATTGGAAAAAGAAGAGGAGAAAGAGAAAGAACAGGAAGTAGTAATAGTAAAGGGTTGGACGAAGAAAAAGAAGGAGGAGGAGGAGGAGGAGAGGAGGAGGAGGAGGAGGAGGAGGAAGGGGAAAAAGGAATAGTAGTAAAGGGTTGGTGACGGGCCCTGGCTATTATCAGCCCCTAGACTGGACTGCTGCCAGAGTTGGGAATCTCCATTTCCAACTCCCCACCCTTATCTAGTGAAAGGTGCCACTGGATTTGTGACCTCCTGCCTATGTGACTACAAATGGTGACCTGATCTGAACACAGAAGGGCCCGGGCAGGCAGAAGAGGAGTGGGTGTACAAAATGACTCACTTGTTCTTCTTCCCCTTCTGGGCCAGCAGCCAGTTCACAAAGTCTTGCTGGTGGATCTTGTCCATGGCAATGCTGTAGTCACTGATGAAAGTTCCCTCTGCATACCTTGGTCCTAGAGGTCGGGAGCCAGGAACCTTCGCATGGGATCTGAGGGAGGAGAGATGGAAGCCAGGACGCGATGCGAGGGAAGGGGCAGGGACCAGAGGTCATAATTTAGAGGTGAAGCATTGGATTGCTTCTAACAGAAGGCAGACATGAAAACAAGCCAGCCCCATTTCTTGGGAGCCAGTTTTTAATGGAGACACCCTGTTGTCAATTCATTCGTTGACAACTGAGGATAAAGTCCTCGGCTCCCTGGGGCTTTTTGCCCAGTTCAAGGACCTTCTTCCTACATTGTGTGTGTGTGTGTGTGTGTGTGTGTGTGTGTGTGTGTTTAGATTCTGGGCAAAGGACTGAATCACACGTTTTCTTTCTTTCTTTTTCTTCTTTTTTTTTGGTACTGGTGATTGAACCAAAGAGTTCACTCTACCATTGAGCTACATCTCTGACTCTTTTTCTTTTTCATTTGGAAACAGCATCTTGCTAAATTGCTGAGGCTGGCCTCAAACTTGCATCCTCCGACCTCAGCCTCCAGAGTTGTTGGTATTACAGGCATGCACTACCCCCCAGCTCAGTTCCCTGATTTCTTTCTCTTGCCCTGACCCTGTCTGATTCAGGTCTTTTGTTCACATTTTATAATAATAATAATAATAATAATAATAATAACAACAACAATAACAACAACAACAACTCACAGAAGATCACTTACTATGACTCAGGTTCTCTATAAACACTTTAGCACATAAAATCATCTAACCCTTACAACATTTCTAGGAAATATCCCCCCCTGCCTGCCCCCCCCCCCTTTTTATTCATTCAGTACTGGGAATGGAACCCAGGGTCTTGCACATGGTAGGCAAGTGCTCTACTACTGGGCTACACCCCCACCCCTACCCGCATTGTGTGAGTGAAGAAACCAAGGTGGGAGATCCAGGACTCACCCTGGTCTATTGTCTTAACATCTACATGATGCCATTCTCCTTATAGGTGTTTCTGACAGCTTCCCTCACATTGACAACTTTACATTTGCCAAATTTACAGGGACTCTTGGTGTGTCCTTGCATCTGAAAAGATCCAACTCTACTTAGAATAATCTCTCTTAGTCCTTGAAAGCACCACCAGAGCCTCCTGCTATATTCACCATATTGTTGGCTCTTCATCCCAGTTCTCAGGACAATCTGCAATAGACCTAAGAGCTTCTTTTCTGTCTTCTGGAAGACAGGAGGCAGTGGTAGGTCCCTGTTCACATATCCCCTGTGCCTGAGCACTGGAGGCTCTCTGTAAGAGCTGAGTGAAGGCATGCATCAATGAGTGGCTGGAGCTTTTATCGGAAAGGAAGAAGATGGCTGGGTGAGGTGGTGCATGCCTGTCATCCCAGCAACTCTGGAGGCTGAGGCAAGAGGATTGCAAGTTCACGGTCAGCCTCAGCAACTTAGTGAGGTCCTAAGCAACTCAGTGAGAGTCAAAAATAAAAAGGACTAGGGACGTGGCTCAGTAATCAATCATCTCAGGGTTTATTCCCTGGTACCAAAAAAAAAAAAAAAAAAACAGGAGATGATGCCATCTTCATCTTCTTGAGAACTCAGACGTTGAGAAATAATTCCAGAAATCTAACCATCTAACTGGGCTTTCCCACTGCAGCTGTAACTCATTAATCTCTGGTTCCATTCTCATTCTGCACCTGGGTCTCTGGCAGACTTTTCTCCTAATTTCTTTCCTCTTAGTTTGGGGTTCCTCCCTTTCTCACCTTCCCCTTGAACCAAGTCCTAAACATGGTTATCCCTCAGGCTTCTGCTTTCCTACCTGGAGAAAGCCTCTTCCTTTTCTCCCAGCCCCACTGCCAGGAACAAGAGCACCAAGAGCAGAGAACAGGTCTTCATGGCCATCATCTTCCAAGGGGTTTCCACTCTGAGAAAGAAAAGGGCCAGGACAAGAGAATGAGGGTACAGCCAGGAGGCCATGCAATGCCAGGGCCTGGGCAGGTGCTGGGAGTTGCTGGGGATTAGAGGTAGTGACAAGAAGGGTCCTTGGGGCCTGACCAAGAGATGAATATGCTCACTCAGTCTTAAGTGGACTCTGAAAGGGGTGGAGAAGAGCAATGGTAGAGAGACCTTGGCAGAGTAAAGCAGTGAAGGCCTGTGTGCCTGGATACCTCTCTTCCCTGGCTCCAGGGGCCAGACATCATAGGCGTGGGGTTAGACAAGTTTCTCTGCTTAGAACCTCCCAAGTTCATGGGAGCCAGAGTTCCTGAGTTCTAATTAACTGCTACCCAAATTATTGTGGCCCCCTTGCCCTAAATGAAAACCATGCACAGAACCATCTCTCTTCTCAGGCTTAACTATTGTGACTCAGAAAATCTCATCCTAAAATCAATCTGACCTGTCTCCTTCTAGGGGTTTGATTCATTTTATGGTGGTTCTTCAGTTGAGAGAATGAACAATGAGGAACTTGTCACACTCTCCCATGGCCTGAAAACCAAAGCTAGATCTGGAGAGGTATGGACTGCAAGAGCTTACCTTCCTTAGAAACCATAGGAGCTGCCTTCCTATTTCTCAGAGGAGGAGAGTGAGACGCCCGGGAGCCCCGCATCTCAAGTAGCCAGAATCCACCTCCTCTCAGGTCATCTCTTCCATCCCCATTCCAGCCTCTCTCTTACCTGACTTCCTTTCTGGCTCTTCCAGAAGAAGGGCAGGATGGGATCCCTTCCTCCTACCTGCTGGCCAGTTGGAGCCTGCCTCAAGAAAGTCTGTCCTAGCTCCTTTATATCCAGGCATCAGAGACCTGCTGATTAGCCTAAAAGCATCTTATCTCAAGAAATTAAGCCCACAGCTCCTGCCACATTAAATCCATTTTACACATAATGACATTGCCCTTCTACCTGGACTGCACTAATTGGTGATTAACATTTGGATATCTCCAGCTGCTATCTGGGGCTGCCCCAGGGGCAGGGTACCCTAAATACCCTCTTTTCTTTTCTCCCTCCTCCTTCTTGGTACACTATTCTTCTCTGCCTACTTCCTGTATAGGTAGCTCCATTGGAGGGTTAGCTTGGTGAGGGCTGACTTGGGGTATGGTGGCACTGCCTGTCGAAGCAGGGGCACTTCCGCAAAGTAATAGGCTACTTCTGGGGGAAAAGAAGAGGCCACAGTCATTGGAACCCTGCTTTGAATAGAGGGCCAAGGCTTGGCATTGTGGTAATGCCTTCATCATTCTTTCTAGGGGGTATCCAAGCAGGCTGGGGAAAGGACTAGAGAATGTCATTGAGGTTTCCCACTGATGGCTGCACAAACAGAATTTACAATCAAGCTGTCTACTACTTAGAGGCAGGATGAACCTAGAGGGACTTAACCACTGGGCCACATCCCCAGCCAGTTTTATATTTTATTCTGAGACAGGGTCTTGTTAAGTTGCTGAGGCTGACTTTGAACTTGCAATCCTCCTGCTTTAGCCTCCTACTGGGAGTACAGGCTATTGTGCCCAGCTTAGAGTGAGGTGTAGTTACAGTTGGGAACTTGGAAGAAGGTAGGGCAACTACAACTCAGTCTGTAAAGAATTGTGAGACCCAAGACCTCAATGCCCTACTCTTCTGTATGAGAGAAGTATGTCCTGCTATTTCCCCCCTCAGCACAGGGCCCTCTGAGATCATACTGGGCTCTCCAAGGCAAGGATGCTGCTGCTGCTGCTTCTTCTTCTTCTTCTTCTTCTCCTTTTTTTTTTTTTTGGTGGTGCTGGGGATTGAACCCAGGGCCTTATGCATGTAAGGCAAGCACTCTATTCCCCAGCCCAAGGCAGGGCTACTTGTTCCTGATCAGACTAAGGGCTCTCTGAGAAGAGCCACACAAGCCAGAGGCTGTGTCCTAAGTCCTTGGAATGCTCTCTGAGCTTTTCTCCACATACCTAGCTCATGGTTCTGCCTACGGGGACTCAGTCTTGCAAGGGCAGGGTGAAGACTGACTGCATTTTTGGCAAACCCCTAAGGTACCCTTCCTGGGTTCCTCCTTGCATTCAACCTGAGTTCTTGGAACCATAAACAGTTGTGCTCTTATTCTGCCTATTAGCCTCAGGGCTAATAAAGGTCACTTTGCTTCCCAGGTGGACTTGCTGGAATAGGAGTAGATCTAGCATGAAGTTAAGTGCCTGTGTGGGATGAGAGGTCCCTGGACTAGGAAGGTTGCTCACCTCTGCCTCCTAGAAACCTAACCTGCCCACTCATTTATTGCTCACCATCTAGAAAAACTTCTCCCAGAGTAAGCTCCTTAACTTCCATCTCCCAGCTACCAATGGGCAGATATTAGATGTTGGTTCAGATTCAACCTCCAAAGGGGAGGGGGTCTCTGCAATATTGCTTTCTGCTGAGCAACAGTTAATGGGCCCAGAAAGATGTGTCAAAACCAGGGCACTCTTATCTGAGGGCAGAGGGTATCCAAGAAAGAGAATGTCTTTCCCTGGGACCCCCAAGTCTGGTGCTAAACCAGAGTCAAAGAAGTCTCTGCAGTGGGTTCCAGTAGCTGTGAGCCCCACCTCTACTTCTAGGTGTGTTTTTTTGGGGTGGGCTGCTCTCAATGTCATTTGTGCCCTAAGTCCCCATCCCAGTCCCTTCCACAACCATCTCCTAGTCTGCCTTTGATCTTTGACCCTTGTTCCTCAAGTGGACAAACTAGGGAGGGCCCTGGGAGGGGCAGGGTGGGCAGAGCAGGGGGTATAGTGGCCATCAAACCCAAAGCTCCTGCTCAAGCCTGCAAGCTCCACATTCCTGGAGATCAACATGGGGAGGGCCAGAGGAGAAGATCAAAGAAGAAACCACAAGCTCTCCCCTGGCTTGCCCACAGGCCCCCCACACCACAGCAACTGGAGAGGCAGGAAAATGGGAAAGATGACCTTGAAAGTTTCTGGCTATAGGTAGGGCCTGCTAGACTTTTTGTTGGGTTTGTTACTATTTGGTTGTTAGGTTTAGGTATTGATTGATTGATTGATTGATTGCAGTGATGGGGATCAAATCCAGGGCTTGGAAAATACTAAGCTTGCCATCTACCACTGAGCTATACACCCCCATCCAGGGCCTGCTGGACTTCATCAAAATAGTTCAACCAATCCAACTGGCAGCTCACCCAACCTGACCACATCATAAAGAGCAGGGCCTTGATGTGCAGAGTCCTGTGCAGTTTTGGGGTGGGCTGGGGATGGGAAGCTCAGGAGGGAGCAGAGTCATCGCCCACCCCCCCGCCCGCCTCTTGGTACCACCACAGAGAATTTCCAGGATCTGAGGAGTCAGAGAGGACACGGGATGGGAGGCAGGGAGACATCCCAACTGGCCCCAAACCCAGGTAGGTGGAGGGAGTGTCTAGGGGTGGGGGTGGTGAAGTCAGAAGTTCACAGGGTAAGATGAGGAAGGAGTGATGGGCCAGAGAGTGCCCAGGTTCCTGCCTCCTAGCTTGGGTCTGGAATGTCCCTCAAAGG